AGAAGGCTGGTAGTTCAAACCTCCCTACCCCACCCCCAGCCACTCCTCAGAAGGAAGACTGGACAATCTACTCCAGTAGAGATACTGCCTCAGAAACCTAAGGAGGGGACACTATGAGTAGGAACAGCCTTGATGGCAGGAAGTGTTTTTTTTTTTTTTTTTTAAGGCATTTGACTGCTAGCCACAAGACTGGCTGGTTCACCACCAGCTGCTCTGCAGAAGGAAGATGGAGCAATCTGCTTCCATGAAGACTTACCACTGCAGAAACCCAATGGGGGTCACTATAAGGAGGAATTGACTTCATGGCAGTGAGTTTAGTTTGGTATTTTGTTTCCTTTTTCACAGCCTATTATCTAAAAATCCCATTTCTTTTATGATCTAGGCCTTTTCTAAAAATGGAGTTTTTCCACGATAACAGAAACAGTTTAGTTTTGTCTCTGCTCCTTGCTTGCTTGTAATTTGCAAGGCTGGACAGGACATTACAGAGTTTATGTCTCAAAACAAGCATCACTCAAAACAATGCCATACCTCCAGCGTGTGGCACTTTCCTCGAATTCTGTTACAAAGAAGTTGGTAATTCTCCAGCACAACGCTCAGCTCAGATGTCAATTCCTGGCCACCAGAGGGCACTTTTGCAGCTAATAACTTGATGTTGTCCTTGAGAATCTTCACTCTCACCTCCTTCTGCAACACATCCTCTTTCGCCCTCTGTTCCAAGAAAGGATGAACTTGAAAAATGTCTCCCACTCAGTACACAATCTTTTCTCAAATAACTAAATAAAAATTAAAGTTTTTAAGTAAATCTAGATGCCTAATTTGAACACGGTTTAGGCAATCACTAAAGACCTCTGAGAGGAGCTCTGGTGGTGCTGTGCCTAAGGCACTTGACTACTACTAACCTGAAGGCTGGCAGTTCAAACCCACCAGCCACTCCTCGGGCGGAAGACTGGGCAAACATCCGTAGAGATACCGCCTCAGAAACCCAAGGCGGGGTCCCTATGGTCAGTACCAACTCGATGGCAGTGAATTTGTTTTTTTTGTTTGTTTGTTTGCTTTAAGGACTTCTGGTGGCGTAGTGGGTAAGGCATTCAGCTGTTAAACAGGTCAATGGTTCAAACCTACCAACTGCTCCATGGAAGGATGAGGCAATCTACTTCCATAAAGATTTACAGACTTGGAAACACAATGGGTATTGCTATGAGAAGCAATCAACTTGATGGCAGTGGGTTTGGGATTTTTTGTTTCACAGGCAATCACTACAATGAGTGTTTTTAAAGTGAGAACGTTAACTATAAAATGTCACTCATTGTATCAGCCAATGTACACAGTCTCACACAAATATTTTCATTTAATAATATCAGTGTTAACACTTAAGTTATCCTATTATGCTTACTGGCATTAAATATTTTCAAATTCTGGGTCTGAGTAAGATTTGAAGCCAATTAATTTTAACTGACCATTGGAGGTCTGAGTATATTAGGCCCATAAATGAATTTTCACAAAAATTGAGGTGACATCAAGGTAGAGAAAATGTTAAAATTTTTCTCAAATAATTTAAGCATAGTTTTTTTCTCCTGGGACATAGATACATCTATTCTTCTGATAATTAACATTTCAAAGGTGATAATGACACAGGAAAGGTCTGATCCAGAAATAGCTTCTTCCCTGACTTACCCGTCACGCTTAAGATAAATTATTTAATATTAAGAAAAATCAAGCTAAAAAGGCCTTTTCACTCTCCCTTTTAGCTTTCTTTACTGCTTGCTGGTTTTCACCTTCCCTGGGTTGGGGCAAAGTAATTAAATGTATGTTGTTGTTGTTGTTTGCCATCGAATCGGCCACGACTCATAGCGACCCCTCCTTGGGTTTCCGAGGCAGTATCACTACGGGAGTAGGATTGCCCAACCTTCCTTCCAAGGAGTGGCTGGTGGGTTTGAGCCACCAGCCTTCTGGTGAGCAGTCAAGTGCCTTAGGCACTATGCTACCAGAGCTCCCAATTAAATGTATAGTAGTTTTAAAAAGTTCTAATGGCTGTTTGGAGGGAGCTCTGGTGGCATAGTGCCTAAGGCATTTGACTGCTAAACAGAAGGCTGGTGGTTCAAACTCACCAGCCACTCCTCAGAAGGAAGACTGGGCAATCTACTTCCGTAGCGATACCCCCTCAGAAACCCAAAGAGGGGTCACTATGAGTTGGATCTGACTAGACAGTAGTGAGTCTGGTTTTTAGTTTGAAGAATAAAAATAAAAAGATAAAATGTTGCCCAATTGAGGACTTTAATCTTTAGTCTTTTACACTCTCACACGTAATGACTTAAAAAAAATCACAAAACTCAAATGCCAATAGTTTAAAGGAAGAGAATAAATGAAACAAGCTGATACTTAACATGGCAAGTTATGTTAAAATACCTTATATACTCCACATTTAACTCACTGCTGTCGAGGCGGATCAGCAATGCCTCCTTTGGTTTCCGAGGCAGTGTCACTACGGAAGTAGATTGCCCCATCTTCCTTCTAAGGAGTGGCTGGTGGGTCTGAACCGCCATCCTTCTGGTTAGCAGTCAAATGTCTTAGGGACTATGCACCAGAGCTTCCTATTTTAAATGGCGGTTTTCAAAAAATGTTCCACTAAAAAAGATGTTTCAGTTAAAAATCTACAACTTCCATAAAGGTCCCTGGTCACATTTACCAGGAGCTGTAGTGATGTAGTGGTTAAAGCATTCAGCTGCTAAGCAAGTGGTCAGCGGTTTAAACCCACCAGCTGCCTCACAAAGAGAAAGTACCAATGATTTTGAAGTGACTCTTTTATTTTATATAAAAAACAAGTGTCCAAGACCACTGACATAGGACACGTAAGTTTACAGGAAATAAACCCTGCAGATCCAACTGCTATCAAATCCCTTGTCCATTTCCCACTGCTCGTCAGTTGCCAGCAAGTCTGCTCCAACGCACAGTGGTGACCTTATACAGGACAGAACAAAATGTTGCCCCATCACTTACCATTTCCATGATCACTGGTATGTTTCTAACTGACTTGAGAAGTCCCTCATTTCTCATACACACACACACACACACACACACAAAATCTTCCTCACGTCTAGTACCAAAGATTTTAAAGTGACATCCCAAGGTTCTAACGTTGTCTCAGGGGCTCTCATGGATTCGATGCATGAGCTTCCTTGGACAATTAAAATCATAACACCTCCTCTTCTTTTCTTTTCTTTTTTTTTTTAATTTGAAATTCTACTATGAAAGATCGTATGTACATACTGTGCTTTCTCGCTAGATAGGTAGGTAGGTGGGTAGGCGTATGGTGGGTGGGTGGATGGGTGGTTACATGGATAAAGTTATTTTGAAGAGGAAAGGGGAGGCATAAAATCTATGAGGCTGCCTGTGCCAGCCTCACCTTCATTTCTTCCACAGCACTCTCAAGCTCTTCTGGTGACTTGTATTCAAAATCCCTCTCCAGGTATTCTTCCTCAGCTTGGGCCATCCATTCCTGCATCTCTGCCAAGTCTTTCTTTAGGTTCACCGCTTTCTCCTGGCTTTCAGACAATCTGTTTTTTTGAATAACAATCTAGAAGGAAAAAAATCCCAAATAAAGACATTTTAACACATGAAGAGTCAAGTTCAAGTTTTTAATATTTAAAGACAAAATGTAACTTTTCATGTTTTAAAATTTGCGGTAAAATCCTTTACACATTTTGTGCTGATGCAGTGGGATATAAATGATAATGAAGAAAATAATTATAACTGGGACCCTATTACCACATTTTGGATATTAATCTGAAAATATCTATTATAATTTTTTAAATTAATAATCTGTGGCAGAGGAATCCCACACATAGGAATCTAACCTACTGCAATAAAAGCATATATGTCAGAGACATTCATTATAGCATTGCTTAGTATTGGGAAAAAAACAGAGGCAACCAAGATATCAATTTTCTCATTTTTGATAGGATTACTTATTAAAATACCAATTTTAAAAATGAGGAAAAGGAGACTTCTGCTATTAAAGAAGTTGATAAAACACTGTACGTTTTTTGCTTTGGTGATCAATTTTATTTGTACATTCACACAGACGTCAAAACACGGTCATCAGAGAATAGGTATTTCCAGAGGTCCTCAGCGGGACACCAGAACCACACACAGACTTGTTTTCAGGGAGGAGATTCCGTTCCACAGTAATAGACGTTTTACATACTCAGCCTCTTGCTCAAACTGAACCTTGCCAGGGTTTGCTTGGCTGAGAAGCAGACAGAAATCAAATGCCAGTACAGGAATAGGATGGTTCTCCCAAGAGTAGGGAAGAATACTTACCGGCTTTCCTGTTCCCTTCTTCCAAACAGGATCCCAGTCATAAAAATAACCAGGGACAAACAGGTGCTTTAATCTCACTGCCCCCACATGGCACTCCACGGCCTGCTGTCAGCAGTATCCACCCAGCCTGGCTCCCCAAGCCCCAGCTGAGAATTTTTTTTTTTAAACCTGGAGAGCTCTTTTTTAAAAAACTATTTTTTTAATTTTTTAACATTAACACATTTCTGAATCCACTTTTAAACAAGTCTAGTACTGGTTCCTGTTAGTGATATAATTTTCATGGGTCCAAAGAGAAATTGAAAAAAAAAAACCAGTGACTTTGAAAAGCTCAAAATTGTAATTAATTATTCTACAATTATATCCTTTTGGGGGGAGAAGGTATTAAAATATATTTTCTTTCATAATATTATCACACCTTCTGTGTGACATTACACTTGAAATAAAATCCAAATTCCAAGTCCAGATATAATCCATCCATCCCTGCCTACCTCCTAAACTCATAATTTAGCATAATTCTCTACCCCACTAACTCCTCTCTCAACTCTATTCGAGCTGCAGGGCTTTTAAACGTGCCATGCTCCCTGCTTGAATGATCTTACCCGGAACCACAGGGGCTCATCTCTTCCTTTCTGCAGTTCTCTGTTCAAATATCCCAGTCTTAGGAAGCCCTTCCCTGACCACCTTATTTGAAATAGTTCACCTTGCCCTAACACCTCATTAGCACTACTTGATATTACCTTATGATATTATTCCTTATCCATCTGCCTCACTTAAATGTAATCTTTCTAAGATGAGGAATTCTTTTTTTGGTCCAATGCTGTATTTCCAATGCCTATAATGATGACTGATCAATAGGTATGCATATTAACGAACACAGTTGATTAATAAATATTTTCAGCATAATTTATTAATGGCATTGACTTTTTGTTGTTGTGTGCCACAGAATGTGCCAAGGAGAAGTGTCCCATAGGGTTTCCAAGGCAGTCATCTTTGTGGAAGCAGACTGCCACATCTTTCTGCCGTGGAGTGGCTGGTAGATTCAAACCATGACCTTTCAGTTAGCAGGTAAGCTCTGAAGCACTATGCCACCAGGGCTCGTGAATGGCTGAGATTACGATGTAGCAAATTCAAATGTCCTGGTGGTAAGGAGGTGTCATAAATGTATGAATCAAGCTAGATTCAAGAAGAAGGCTAAGTCCTGGGCCAAATTAGACAGTAATTGCCCTCCCTTAATTTAAAATAATACGCATCCTTTCCATGCCCCCAACTTGCCACTCATTTGTAGCTCTTCCTGTCCACTGTTTTCCAAACTGGATTGCTTGGAAAATTAATTCAGTTGGTTAACACAAACCACTGTATACATCTCTGGAAAATCATAGACAATAAAATTGAAAAACTCACCTCCTTGCTGAATTTCTCCAGTTGGGTTTGGCAGTCACCGAGTTTTGTTTGTACCCAGGTTTTGATTCCAGCAACTGGACAGCTTTGAAGGTTAGCTTCTATTTCTTTCATGTCCTTCAGAGATGATTCAACTACTTCTATTTCATTAACAAATACCTGGACATATAAAATAAGCCCATGCTGAGTTGATGTTCTATGTAACTGGACATAATAATTATAGTTTGCTGCTGATATCCCTGAAAAAACTTTAAGAACAGACTGCTTGGGAGGCAGGACTTCTAACTACTTCTTAAATATTGCATCATAATAAATTCATTCCCTTTGGTGGTTCAGATAGCCATCTGCCGAATTAGACTGAAAATACCTGACTCTCAGCAGGGCACAGAGCTTTCAGTTAATCTAGAGAAGCCGAAGGAGCTCACCTAATACAAGCTGTATACAGTATTACTAGCAGATGTCATTTCTTAAATGTGTTTTCACCATGTGGCATAATAACAGCCATATGTATAAGTGGTGGCTATTACACTAACACTGTAGTATAAAATGGCAGCTCTTAATGAACTAAAATTGTTCTATCAAAATTCCATAACCACAGCCAAAAAGAAAAATATGGATCCCAAAAAGAAAAATATGAATCATCAGTCTTCTTTTATTAGCCACAAAGTCAAAAACAGTATACCATAAAAGATATTTTATGTAGGCTTATGGTCATGGCATATGCTTCCAATTTTAACAGTAACAGTAAATAACAAAGGAAAAGTAGGAAACGTGATAGATTACAGCTAGACCCCCAGGTCAGCAGAACTCACAGAGCATTGGTCAAGCTGCCTCTGCAGCCCTTCAGCGTCTCCTTGGGAAGCCTGCTCTTTCATTAAGAAGTCTTTCACCCCATCCATCCACTTCTCAATGACTTCTGAATCAGTCTAAATCGAACACAATAACAAAGGGGGACATTACTCAGTGACACTCAGCCTACTCTATCTCCAGATGCACTGCTACTTGGGGAAAAAAATATTCCCTTTCAGCCTCTGGTAGCATCATTTTCATTTGTTTCTTTTAAAAAACCTTCCAGCTTCCAAAGTAATTATTTTCTCCATTCTTGAGTAAACTCCTGAGATGAACAACTTAGTGATCATTCGACAAATTTCAAAACACTCTGCAGTGAACCAAGTGATGATGCTTTAATGTAAGCGATACCTATGATCAAATGTTCAAATGAGAGACTAAAAGGCTTTATTGGCTATGATCAACTGAAAACTCTTCTGTTCACATAAAATCTAAAACGAATTTTCTAACAAAGTTAATGACTCAAAGCAGGAATGAATAAATAGCATCGTGGAGAAGATGAAATAAATTGTTCCTAGTTCTGGGAGCTGGATACCTTGTTATCAGAGAACCAAGGACAGCCCACTGTCCAGCTCCATTCTTTCATCCAGCATTTACTGGTCACCCACAGTAATCCAGTTACTGTGTATGGTGAAAAAAAGAAACATTCCTTAGGGAGAAAGAGACTTCACAGAGGAGGGAATATTGGAACTGAGCCTTAAAGAATGCAAATTAAGTAGGTCCAACATGACTTCAGATACCATAGTAAAGTCATGGGCATTTCCTGTCAAGGCCTCCAATTCCATCACTGGTCAGTCTGTCTTGTTATTTCCCTTGTATTGGAGTGAATTTATTTCCCTGTACCTTCTTCCATTTTTTGTGCATCATTCATCTCTAAGAGTGAAGAGAAATTTACTACCCTGTTCAAAAAAGCCTTGTCGTTTTTTGTTTTGTTTTCAGTAAGTATGTGGGACTGGGACTAGAGTATCATACAGTAAGTATATGTGTAACTTTATAAGGAACTGTTGAACTGTTTCCCATTGTGGGAAGCCCTTCAGTTTTGAAAGCAGCCACATGTCATCTCTTACTCTTCCATTGGTTAAACATAACCAATTGTTTCCAAGCTATCTCATAGGATAACCATGTACACGCTCACCACTCGGATGAACATGTGCTGGAAACTACATCAATTTTGTTAATGCCCTTAAAATATACCACTCGGAACCAAGAAATATTCTCTATAGAATGGTGGAATGAAAACCAAAGATTGAAACTAACTGGCATCTTACTTATGATATTACATTCATATATTGTCCTATTATGCATTAGGCAAATCTGCTGCATAAGACCTCTTTAAAATCTTAAAAAGCAAAGATGTCATTTTGATGACTAAAGTAAACCTAACCCAAGTCAGTGTCTTCAATCACCTCACATGCATGCTGAAGCTGAACAATGAGAAAGGAACCAAAAGAAGAACAGACACATGAACCAGGGTGTTGGCAAAGAATACTGAAGGTATCATGGACTGCGAGAGAACAAACAAATCCATAATGGAATGAAGACAGCTGGAATGCTCCTTGGAAGCAAGGATTCCAAGTCTTCATCCTGCTTACTCTGGGCATCAAGAGAGATCGATTCTTGGAGAAGGACATAGTGCTTGGTAAAATAGAACATCAATGAAAAAGACTATGACCCTCAATGAGGGCTGCAAACAGTGGACTCTGAACATACCTACTATTGTGAAGATGACACAGGACTGGGCAATGCTTCATTCTGTTATACACAGGGTCGCTGTGGGTCAGAACCAACTCGACAGCACCTAACAACAATAGTGCCATCCAGAATTGTGTTTCATTTTTCTCCTTGTAGGGTTGCTTCTTCTTTCTCTTCTTTTTTCAGTTGTAGCCATTCACAACAGTACCGTTAATTGAAACTCCACTACTCCCATTGTAACTGCCCCAAAATTATATTTTCTCTCTCTCATAGAGTCTAATTAACTTCTGTAATGCTTCTAGGACTTGAGATTTATAAATATTTAATTTTGCCTTGTTAATTACATTAGTTAAGAATATAACACAACAAGCTAATAAAATAAATTTAATTTTGGTCTCTCCACTTTCATATTAGGTATTCTTCCTAGCTTCCTCTTATCTGCCAATCTGACAAAGAAGTATCCTTTATCTATTGGGTTTTTTGGTTGGGTTTTGGGTTTTTCCAGGTGAATAATAAGGTCAATGACAGTGCCTAGCTTATAATTCCCCCAATGGAGACACCATGTCATTCATTAATCAACAAACTTTGCACTTTGGTTTCAAAATACAGGAATCTACATAATGAATACTAGTTTTCCATCCTCTTTTAAAGTTTACTGTAAGAGATTTTCTCCAATACTTTGCTTAAATCAAGACTTAGCAAGATGATAGTCTGGGACATTATCTGGACTAAAGAGCTGTACAGCAACCCCTCCTCTAATGTAAGATTCTGAGAATCTAATGATCTAATCATCTCATATTCCTCCTACTCGAGAATAAATTTAAGAAAAGCATTATTAATGGCTCATTAGTGGTTCCTATGTTGGCTCCTGGTGACCACCACATTCTTTCCTAATATGTATGTGATCAAGCTTGTATTCAAAGGTCTTTAGCATCTAGAAACTAATGTTCCTTCTTATTTATGACATTCATCCACCTCCACTGCTCTGGTAATTTCTTACAAAATGCATGAAGTGGCCCTGAGGTCATGGGTAGAAATCCCACCGGTAACTGAGATGCATATTTATGTCTGTGAGAATCAGAAATGCATCTTTTGGAGGATCTGGGTGGTTCTCCCATCAGATTCATCGTTCAAGCACTAATATAGTCTCAGTCATGACTCTTCTATACTTTCTTAATTTGTAGGCCATTCTCTGATGAAGACAGAAAACAAAAAGAGCAGTTAGCCCTTTCTGACTCCTCTATTAGTATTATGCCACTCAATCCAAGCCCTTCCTTATTCTCCCTATTCCAAACACAGCTTTGAAACCCTTTTAGTCACTCTGTGCACTTTATCTCAACCTTCCTTACTCACTGGTCTACAGCCTCTCTGTCACTATCTTCCTGTTGTTTTTTCTGTTGTTATTCGGTGCCGTCAAGTCGGTTCCGACTCTGCAACCCTACATATAGCAGGATGAATCACTGCCCAGTCATGCACCATCTTCACAATCCTTGCTGTATGTGAGCCCATTGTTGCAGTCACTGTACCAATCAGTCTTGTTGAGGGTCCTTCCCTTTTACGCTGACCCTGTACTTTACCAAGCATGACATCCTTCTCCAGAGAACGGGCCCTTCTAACCCCATGACCAGCATAGGTGAGATGAAATCTGTCCATTCTCACTTCCAAGGAGCAATCTTCATAGGCCCATTAAACTCATATGGATTTTGACTGGGTGTCTCTACTTCTGTGTTTGCTCCAGCATTCTAGTACCCTATCCTAGAAAGCGTCTCGGGAAGACATACCATTAGTTTAAGGCAAGTTGGGTGGGGTGCACAGAAAGACAGAAGTTCCTTGGAATGAAGAGAAAGTATGAATGTATCTATAGAGTTCATAAAATATGAAAGACTTTCATTGTTCATCTAACTTAAGGAGCCCTGGTGGTACAGTGGTTAAGCACTCGGCTGCTAACTCCAAGGTAGGCAGTTCAAACCCACCGGCTGCTCTGTGGGTGAAAGATGTAGCAGTTTGCTTACGTAAACATTTACAACCTTGGAAACCCTAAGGAGTAGTTCTACTCTGCCCCACAGGGTCACTATGAGTTAGAATCACTTCAACGGCAATGTGCTTGGATTTGGTTTCATCTAATTTGCTGTCACAGATTCTTATACTTTTCATATCTGCTCTGAACTTTTGGAAAATTCAGGTAGCATTACCACTATGTGACTGGGTAATCCCGTCAACCTAGGTTTGAATATTACAATCTGATAGTCTCCTGGGCCAAAGATTTTTCAGAACTGATGGAGAAGCATTCTCCTTCAGGACGAAAATGGGGAAGCAGTTTCATCACAATCAGCTCTGACTGAATAAAGAAAGCAGCCTGAGCTGCCCCATTTGCTGGGAAACCAGAACCAAGCCCATTGCCAATGAGTCCATGCCAACTCATGGTGACCCCACACAATGGAATGGAACTGCTGCTCAGGGTCTCCTGGTTGTGACCTTTCCAGAAGCAGATTGCCAAGGCTCTCTTCACAGCACCAGTGGGTGGGTTTCAACGCCAACCTTTAGGTTAGCAGTGTAGTGCAAGCCATCAGTGTCACCCAGGGACAGCCACTGGCAAAGGGGAGGAGTTTTATGACCTCAAGTCCCTTCCTCCTTTTTTCCCCATCTTCTATCCCTTCCCCTCTCTCTCAGACACACACAGATCCATGTGGGCAGACCCAATTTACACACACCTGTTCATTCTCTTCCTCCTCCACTTTAACATGAGAAAGACAGGCAAAAGCAACAGACAGAATCAAGCCATGTAAGCACTGATCATCCCAGTAGTAACAGAAGAAACAGACCAGCATCCAAGAAGCCACACCGTTTTCACCACGAGAAGGGCTGCACAAGCCTGGGCTCACTCAGTTCCAACAGAAGCAGCGAGCCCCATGAGAAGAGGTGTCTGCACCAGCCTCTGCACCTTACTAGCCATGTGGCATGAGAAACTAATTTTCCTTCATTGAGCCTACATTGCCCATCTGTAACACGGAGGTAATGCCACTTACTTTCCCTCATTCTTCTGAAAAACAGAGCTAATGCCTGGAAAAGGGCCTGGCACATAGCAGGCATGCAATAAATAGTAGCTGTTGTTATTAAGAGCTAAAATAAACAGTTGCTTGGTGGTGTAGTGCCTAAGGCATGTGACCACTAACCAGAAGGCTAGTGGTTCAAGTCCACCAGCCATTCCTCGGAAGGAAGGTTGGGCAATTTACTTCCATAGTGATACTGACTCAGAAACCCAAGGAGGGGTGCTATGAATCAAGACTGACTCTACGGCAGTGAGTTTGGTTTTTTGGTTTTGGTTTATTATAACCAAGATTAACCATCAAAAAAGAGCTACCACTTCCAAGTTTTGGTTTTTACT